TTCTGTTTAAATATGTTTTTCAATTTATTGCTTATAATAGATTTTAGAAACATTTCATATGACATATTACAGAATGAACTTTCAGAAATTGTTGCGCATGAGATGTGAAAGGTTGAAACATTTCTGAAAACTTTCCGCAACAATCTGTGCTATATGGGATCATCGAATTTTTAATTAAAATTTTTTACCATGAATCATGATAAAAATGTTTTTAAAAATTATAATTATATTGCAGAGATTTAATTGGGTACCAATTCCTTACAATAAATCATCCCTCTTACCAGAGAATATGCCACATGCTTTGCAGGAAGCTGTGCAATTTTCAAACAAGGTTTGATTTAAATTTATCATGTATTTAATAATTAGTGTAGTCGAATTTGTTTATGTTTATAATAGTCATTTATATAAACAAATTCGTGCTCTGTTCCAATTAAAGGAATGTATAGGTACAAGCTCATAGGCTGGCTATTGATAATCCATTCTTATTTTAAGACAATTGAAAAGTAATGTTTTCAGATGATTCTGTGATTAATTTAATGCTTAAATAAGGATGCGTTGGAGAAAGAAATATCAGAAAGCCAATGTCAGATTACGGATTGACGATTCCGATTGACGTAATAACGATTTGCTCTGTTCTATTTTAGACGATAAACTCGTTTCATTTTGATTAGAATAAGATCGAGCAACTGTTAATCGTAATCGTCAGTCTATTGTCTAATGTGGGTAGAACGGATGTGATGGGGATTTATAGCCAAGAGTAACTTTATTTTAATTTCGTTTGCTGTTTAGTGAGTGAATTTAACATGGCACGGAACTATTATGAAACAGAAAAGAGATGAAAAAATTTCTAACTTCCTCATCGGCAATCGATTAATTAATGAAATGTCGATCCTTTTGTAACATATTTCTATTATAGCATGGGTACTAATTCGTATTAAAGCCCAACTTTGAGAACTCACTTAACTCACATACGAAATGCTGCTCTTATATTCTTTCCAAGGTGATTCTTATTTATGAGTTAATGCATCTCCGTCGCCCTTTGTTGATGGATAATGTTCACGGATGAGTAATTTTCGCAGATTTTCGATATAACATTTGATAACATTTTGTTAGCAACGGACTATGATGGCATCAATTAAAAAATGATGAAAAATGAGAAATGAACTTGAAGACATATATATATATATATATATA